GGGGGGGGGGGGGGGGGCAATTTTTCTGTTTGCTGTAAAAAAAATCCCTACTTTGAGGAACTGCGGTAGCAACAGATCTGTTGTAGGTGATTTATTGACCTGTGGTAAAATGATGACATTATATTTGTGTATATGTACCTAGTTAAGGCTGTTTAAAACCTGTGAGTTGCTCGTACTGTGGTGCCGACTTGTTCTCCGATGCCTAGTCGGGAGGGGTTATATTGGTGAACCTGGTCTGTCTGCATTGGTGGTCTTGAAAATAACAAATAAAAACTGTACACATAGAACAAAGTGTGATGTTAAGTTCTATCTGCTGCCTATGGAAAATACACTTGTGCTAAAATTTGGTGCCAAGGGTAGGTTCACACCTAGGCGATTCAGATGTTCATTGTAAACCTCGCGGTTGTCAATGCACAGAGATGTCTATGGGACCCAAACCGCTCGACAACCGCCCGAAAATAGCTCCTGCACCCTTTCGCAGGACAGGCGACAAACCGCAAAAAGGTGTGAACAGCCTCCGTTGACTTCCATGCGAATCTGTTTTTTGCGCGATATTGCACAACTCAAACCGCGCGATAAAATCGTCTAGGTGTGCACTGGCCCAAAGAAGTTCAAAAAAAAAAAGCCAATTTAACATTTCGGGAGCGAGAACCATTTTTTTTTTACTTTAAAGTGCATTATGTTTTGTTTTGGAAAGAGTATAGAACCAATGGCAGGTTGTTTCTGCTGCCCATGTCCCATTGGGGAGCTTGGTAGCTCTCACCAACACATCTCTCGCTGATAATGAGCCTTTGGGAGTCCTAAAAGGAGCTCCTTCTCTAAGCAACAGTGACAATGGCCACCAGGAGAAACAGATTGGTTTTCCCCGCTGGGGAGATTCACCGCAAGTACCGTATTTTGCGTTCCATAAGACGCACCGGACCATAAGACGCAGGGAGGTCCGGTGCGCCTTATGGAGCGCTCGACAGACCGTAGCTTCTGTGACAGAAGGTGCAGTTAGTGACCGCTGAGACAGGTGGCGGTGCGATTACAGCACCACGGTCTCAGTGATCACACAGAGCAGACGAAGAACGTCCGTACTTAGTCTGCTCTATGGTGATCTCGAGCGCCGCCGCTGCTCGGTTTTAATACGAGTGATCTCATTAGATCACTCGTATTAAAACAAGCAGTGGCTCCTACTGTACATTTAGCTCTGCTTTAGCAGAGCTAAATGTACAAAAAACTACTCGCCCGGTGCCCGAAACTGCATGTCTCGGGTGTCGGGATTCGCTCCATAAAACGCAGGCACATTTTCCCCCTCCTTTTGGGGGGGGGGGGCAAAAAAGTGCGTCTTATGGACCGAAAAATACGGTAACTTATAATCTGCAAACCTTATACCCGAGTCAGTGACTCAAAATAATAAAGCCAGAGGATCGATATGAAAGCCAGGCACCTGGTAGTGTTAAGTCAGCAGCTATCTCTTATAAATTAGGTTTCTACTTTTCAAGTCCTCTTACCAGATATGTTAAAGTAGAACTGAAATCAGAAACAGTGATGTTATTATAGGGAACATATAAACTGGATATCTTACAGAAAACATCTAAAAAACACTAATATACCTTTTGCCTTCCGCGTGAAAAGTAGCAGCACGCTTCCTGTGCCTAGACACTAATGCACGTTGTAGATATACAGCTATAAGGTTCAATGTGTGATCATCTAAATCTCTGCTGCCTCTCAGTGAGATTTGGTGATAACACTGTGCTGGTCACTGTTCTCCTTGCTGGTGAGGAAGCTGTACCCGAGAACCTGCGGTGTAAGGATCTCCCTGCTTCCGTTCCATCCATTGTGTAGATCTCCGCTTCCTCCGCCACCCCCAGCTGCTAAAACAAATATTCCCCCACCAGTCATTGAGGGGCAATTCTGATAAAAGGAAGCAAAGCTACAAATATGGCAGACCAAGGCATGGTAAGTCAGTAATAGGGAAAAAGATCATCTGCACGGAGACCACGGGTCATACTGGTGACTAGTAGTTTGCCCTCTGCTTGTCTTTTTGGGCACAGTTTCCACAGTACAGGTCCTCTTTAAACAAAACACAAGGTATATAATAAAAACAATTTATTGAATAAATGATAAATAAGTTAAACATAGAAATGTATAAAAAAAAACAGGAAATCCCTATACACGGATCAAATGGGATTATAAATAATTTGGAGTTAAAGAAACATGGGTGGACAGGGCAAACCAGCCTTCTTCCTTCTGCTTTGCAACCTGGGAGGGGGAAAGGAGACAATGTGAGGTCAGAAAGGTGAGGGGATCGGGGCAGAAGACAAAGAAGGGTGAGGAGAAATGAGGGATCGGGGCAGAAGACAGTGGGGGGTGAGGAGACACGAGGGAACAGGGCAAAGGGGGTGAGGAGACACGAGGGAACCGAGCAGAAGACATGAGGGGTGCAGAGACATGAGGGAACGGGGCGAGGAGACATGAGGGACCGGGCGAGGAGACATGAGGGACCGGGGCAGAAAACAAAGGGGGCGAGGAGACATGAGGGACCGGGGCAGAAAACAAAGGGGGTGAGGAGACATGAGGGACCGGGGCAGAAGACAAAAGAGAGTGCAGGGAGATGAGGGGAGAAGGAGTTGATGAGGCAGATAAGGACAGGGAAGGGGAAGGAATGGGGTAGGAAAGAAAAAGAGAGATATTAGCAGGGATGGCTGGTGCTTGTAGTTCAACAACAGCCTGAAGGTACTAAAACAAATATTAATTTGGCCCAGAATTAAAAGGCAACTTCAGGCAACAACATTCATTCTACATATATGTTGCCAACACCAAGCAGGAAGTACTGGGATTGTGCTAAACCCAAGGATGCAATTTAATATAATCCACTATGGTCAGAGCCAGCAAGCGTTTCACAATGCCTATGGGCAGCTCTGCTGGTCACATGATTCAATGCCCATTACAAGCAGTGTAGGTACCTGAATTTGACTTGGTATTAGCCCCTTGCAGTCCCTGTACAACAGAGCTCAGACAAGGGGAGGGAGAAGCAGCAAAAAACAGCTGTCAGTTGTTTTGCGGTGCCCATATGCCAACAAGAAACATGTTGATAGTAAGACAGCAGAGTGACAGAGATGAGCTCATCAGTCTGCCGCTTCTCCTTTCACTGTCCAGTCACAAGCAAGGCCTGTAAATGTTATTTAACTAAAGCACAGCACAGAAAAATCTGGCTACGTGTACTGCAAAACCAGGCTGTGCTGTGCAACAGAGCCATGTAAATCTCTGGACTGGATGAATAGAACTACAAATCCTGTAGTGGCCGGAGCAACACACAGACGTGGCATTTTCAGAAAACAGCAGCAGCGTGTGGGGAGAATATCCCGGTAGTGAGCTTGCAGCGGTGACTACTTTACAACATACACAGGGACCATGGGGAACAAAAGTAGCCCCCCTCCAGAAGGAAGGACAGTGTCAGCACCAATTCAGAGATGATTGGAGGATCTACAGCCGAGTGATACACAAATAAGAGACATTTTTGTTAATAGTTGGGGTACCTGAATAGAGCTGCAGCTAACGATTATTTTCAAAATCGATTATTAGTTGTTGCAGCCCTATACCTGAATGTATTTTTGAGATAACTCCTGAGTTTCGTGTCACTTTAAAAGCTAAGAAAAAAAAATATATATATCTCTTCCGTGCCCCTCTATGACTTAGTTTCACTTACTCCTAATTAGGGATGCTATTGATACCGATACTAGTATCGGTGCTGACGCCGAGTATTTGGGCAAGTACTCTTACTCACCCAAATGCTCTGATGCCTAGCCCGATACTTGAGCTTCCGGTATCAGGAAGCTAGGCGGCGAGTCATTACACGCTGCCTGGCTTCCTGATTGGCCGGGAAGCTGGCTCCATGCTCCCTCGTCACTTGGCGACGAGGGCGAGTCATTACCTGACCCCGTGCTTTCCGATTGGCCGGAAAGCCGGCTTTATTCTCCCTCATCACCTGGTAAGGCTTCCCTGACCAATCAGCAAGACAGGCAAGGAGTCCTTACAGGGGGCCCGGCTTCCTGATTAGCCAGAAAGCCGGCTCCATGCTTCCTCGTCCCCAGGACAGTTTTAGGAGTACAGGTTCACTTAAAGGAGAGGCAGGTCAGGTCTCATTAGGGGTTCACCTTACTTAGACCTGCTGGCAGGGATTATTGGCTTTACAAAGTGATATCATTACATGACATGTCATACCTTTGTCCACGGAGAATCCCCCATGCCTCTCCCTCCCTTGTACACCGTGCTCACTGAAGACCCGGAC